ACATGCAAGCATTAATCTTTAAAGTTAGTATATTCGAACCCAACATATGGTAATGCAGTTGAAAAAAGAGCACCATAAAATATGTTTGCAAAGAAATAATAAATGTAATTAGAACAGTTTTTTTTCTGTAATAGGAAATTTAAAATCTTCAAAACTTACCGCTGATTAATGAACGGATCCAAACGTTTAGTTATTGGATCTAATCGTAATGTAGCCGGTGAGCAGTAAGGTCCAATTCCCGCGTTATTACCAGCTGCCACGCCCACTGTATACATAACACCCTCGGTTAAGTTGGCCAACACCAGTGTCGGCGAGGCAGAGTCTATGGTCACATTCGTGAGTATACGTGAAAAATTGTGTGCGGTATCAATGCCACGCACAATCACGTGATAGTAAAGTAAAATGCCTGTGAAATAGAGTAAAACAAAATTTTAAGAGAAATGTACAAAAAACAGGGACCGTTTTAGTTAAAACGCTTATTAAAAAAAATCGCACTTTAACAGTCGTTTTTTTTACTTTTGTCTAATTACTCCTCAAAAAACAGTTATTTCCGATTTTTATTTTATAAATCCAACATAATTATTTTTGATTTTTGTCTAAATAATATGCAAATAACATTAAGTTTTGATTTTTAAATTATATGTCTTAGATAACAGTTATCGAAGACTTTTATTTATAAATGGCATAAATAAAAGTCAGTCACTAACCGATATTTTTTAAATCATGCTTATAAAAGTTATTTGTATAAGTCGTAGTTTTGTTCTCCAACACCTTCTTAACTAAGAAAAATGGTACAAGACTTTTATACGTATGACTTAAAAAATAAAAGTCGGTGACTGATATATATTGATGACTTGTAAAAGTAAAAGTCACTGACTGATTTTTATTGATGACTTTTATAAATAAACGTCTTCGGTAACTGTTGTCTAAGACATATAATATAAAAATCAAAAATTACTATTATTTGCAGATTATTTATATAAAAATGAAAAATATTTCTTATTTTGGATTTATAAAATAAAAATCAAAAATAATTGTTATTTTTTTAATTTTGCATAAAAATTTCAAATAAAAATTTATTTTCAAATTTGATTCTCGGTGAAAAAAGAAATCGATTGGTATGTATCACTTAGTTGTACAACATTTCCTTCATAGTGAATTTTTCAATGACAGTTTTCATCAATAACTGTCCCCAATAAAATTAAAGTGGACCGCAAATTATTCTTTTAAATTTGTGATTTCTGTTGCACAAATTCAATAGCTCACAGATAAATTAATAACCAAAGATCGTTTATTGGTATGACTTACCATGCTGTGGTTTCATTGGTGGCGCCCGCCATTTTAAGAAAACTGCCGAGGAGTTAAGTAGTACAGCTTCCATACCAAAAGGTGTTTCATTTATCACTGTAAGAAATAAAAAAAGTTGATGAATTACATACCTATTTGTTAATGTAATGAAATTTCCAAGATAAAAATAATGTTTATTCCTGATCAAGCTTATCGCTGCTTTGACTCCCTTCGAATTCATCATCAAAAGTTCACTTATGAAATTTTTCTAGTATGCCGGATGTGTACCCAAAATATGCAATAGATGCTATGCAAATTTATATTAGGCCATATTCTTGTTTTCGTGCGAGTCGAAAATTTAAAAATTTTGTATAGAAATTTAATACATACAATACAACAATACAATACAACTTTTATCGGGTGATTTAAAATTTGATAATATTAAAAACCTACTATGCGAAGCGGCTGCACAAATTTAGAAGAAATATGACAATCGTATCGGTTATACCTTACAAATATTTGGAATAGTTTGAAGGTTTATGAAACCCTATCTTGGGCATTTTAACGCCGTGCGGACTTTCTAGTGATATTCTTATTATTTGAAGCTGCAACCGTTTTTCGATTTAAGGCCAAGCCACTTCGCCAATCTTCTTTTTCTTTTGCAAAGTTCCGCCAATTAACACTATACGAACGAGGACCTTCTTGCTTGCACTTGTTGCTTCTATTGTGTTCATGTGTAGTCCAAATTTTCGAAATTGTACTTTTGGTGTTAGAAAACCACTATGCCGCCGATCGGAAGATGAAAAATTGTCCCATGAAGTCGCATTTCACAAAGATTAAAAGTTACCAGTGCAATTAGCCTCCAGGAAAGCTTCAAAGTTAATGAAAAGCTTGAATTGATACAGAACGAACTCAGAAATGAGAATCACACGCAATGGAATGGCAATGGAATATACATATGTATGTATGTCTTTTGACGTCCACAACTCCATAATCAAAGTGGATAAGTCGTAAGGTGAATTGTTAGTAAAAATGTTGCACCAAAGGTTTAAATAAAAAAAAATGGTTTTCAGGGGCATGACGTTCGCCGGATCCTCTAGTATTTTCCTATTTTCTTTAGTCTGCAGTCGTAGATCTCAAACCAATTTAAATTAATTATTTAAGCACCTATGTGTTTCTCACTTAGCTAATGTATCGCTTTAAAAAACTATTCTTAAGCACTATATTCATATCCATGAATATTATGCAGTGAGTGTGCAAAAAATCAGGGACTGAGAAAGTTATTATTCAAATGACAGTGAGTAAAGTCTTGGGATTTCAAGGAAAGTAGAATTTAGCATATGAATACGAGTCTGCAGTGATTTAAGCGAGACAATTTGAATAAATATGTATACACATTGCATAAGCATATATGAAATGCATACATATATGAAATTCATTAGAAATGTGTTTAAATACGCATGTGTATGTAAGTAAGTAAACAAGCATTCCCTCAGTGCCAGCTAAGGAGTGTGAGACGACTGTCTGCGCAAAACCCCCAATTGGCGAAGTGTTGGAATTTTGTGGCAACGCTTGCGATTTCTAACTCATTGCACTAAGCTATTTTCATCTGCAGCTAAGGCCACACTTTGTTGAGGTTCTTTTATCTCAGCATGCTGTTGTATGTGTCTTTTTTGTTTCTTTATTTATTTTTTTTAAGTCTCATTCCTAACTTGCACTTTTGCATTCATTATTGTGCACACATACATACATATATTTTCATGTATGAGTGACTTTAATAAGAAAAAAAGAAATGAAAAGTAAAGGTAAGCCGTGCAAAGCAGGCATGTTTAGATAAACAAAGAGGAGACGGGCGAGCAGACTCATGGCGACCCACACAAGGAGAATTCTGGATCTAAGGCTGGTAGGGGCTTTCACCAATACAATCGTACATTTGTCCAAATGCAAGTGTAACCTCAGTGGAGTGGTTCGAATGTGCATCTTAACTCCCAAAGGAAGCCAAATCAGCCGGCTGAGATGCATTATTTCCATGCGATTCACACATGCAGACAAATGACTGTGGTGTAGCCATAGTCTTTTTTGTTTTGCCAAATGAAGCCCACCCTTCTCATTGCACAAAACATCGTTTACTTTTGCTGCTTTGTGCTCTTCTTATTTGCATCATTTTTCAAATTGCAAACAAATTGTAGCACGAAGGAGAACAGCAGCAGTTGACATTTGAGTTGCGAAGCAAATAAAGACACACAGACACACACATTCATATATGCTCTGCTGCATATTCGCTGCATTTGTGGCAATACTTCAGCAAATACGCTGATGCAAATAAATAGAAACGCCTTTAAAGCGAAATGTTGGAACTTTTGCGTTTTGCGGTTGTTTGCTCA